CGGGACTGAGGTTCATTTGTATGATTTTCAAAGCTGCTAGAGTTTAACTTATAGGCAAACCATTTCGAGTTTAACGAATGCGACAAATACAGGAATAACAATGGTCAAGAAAAAAAAACAACATTGAAATGGTTTCGAGACACGAAGCATCTTTTTTTTTAGCTAACTTGAGGTCGCTGAATCTGAAAATGACCTTACTTTTTTTTTGGTTAGCTACCGTTTTTGCTATACAGTAATGCCTCATTTTTGGAAAAAAAGCATTTTTTATCATTTGTTTTGTGTATTTATGATATTGATCGATGGTAATATTTCTCAAAATAAAATCGTAGAAACTTCTCACTTCGTATTTAAACCAACAAATATTTGTCTGCTTATTGAGAAATACTATTTTTTTGCAATAAGAATCAGAACTTTATAAATAACACGATTGAATATACCAAGACCAACAAGTATTTTCATCAAATTATTTAATCAACTAACAACAGAAATAAAACCTTCGTGAACATAAGAACTATGGTAAATTTTTTCTCTTTCTTGATTGTCATGTTCAATGTTATTTAAGTCCCTTTTGATATTCCAGCAGTATCATGTCCAATGGAATAGGTGCATTCAATTGGGATGTCTTTAGTTGGCGTTTCTTTCCAACTGTGAAAACAAAATGCTCTCAATGTGATTGGTTTCCTTCCGTAGTGAAGGGATAAAAAGTGATGGTTAAATTTATGAATATCAAACAGAAGATTTTAGGATTTCATTTTTTTATGTCAACTTAATTATCAGGTTTACTAAAGTTTATCTATCTATCTATCTATCTATCTATCTATCTATCTATCTATCTATCTATATTTCTCATGTTGTCTGTCTGTGTGTCTGTCGTGGGCGTTGTTACCTCGCCCAGGCCGCATTTCTCACCCGATTTCGATGCGGTTTTCACCATAAGTTTGCAAATGGCTGCCGTAAGGATATGACGGAGCCCGATTTTTGAGTTCGGACTCAGGTTCCGAAAAAATCGATAATCGAAAAAATCTGCTTACAGAAGGAATGATCGCATTACAACCAAATTTGACACCCTCTTAGAGTCTACCATTAGAAGTGTTGTCCAGAAGTTTCATGACCACGGACCCCTAAACAGCGCGGATAATCGATAAAATCCAAAAACCGATACGCCCAGATTGCACCTGAACCGCATGTCGGTTTTTAGCTAAAACTGACCGGATTTATGACGAGGCCATTGGGAGTCACCATGTGAAGGAGCCATTTGAAGGGTTTGAAGGCCCAAGGACAAACGCTGTCTGTCATTGGTGTACACTTAGAGAAGCAGTGCTACTCAGACGGCCAACTTTACGTAGCTTGCCTCTCGAGTCGGCAGGCGCGAGGATGTGTTCCTTTATTCACCCTCGTAAAAAGCTGAAAATGTGGTCTACACTGAAGTCCTCAGCCAGTGATACGCAAACCCCATTCCATCTTTCCTTTTCATGCAAGAAAATTGCTGTAAAAGTCGTCCGGGTCATGCTGCTAGTTAGTGATAAAGTTTATCAGTTAATTTGAATTTTGGTGATAAATTGGAAAAATTCAGTACTTCTATTTTTAAATGTTTGACTCAGAAACACTTTTTTTCTTATAAAAAATAGTTTATTTCAGGTGGCTGACATAAATTGCTCGGCCATGTTTAAAATAAAGACTCCATATTTCATATCGCCTTTGATTTTTTGTCTCTTCTCTAAAAATGTTCTTACCTTGTAAAGATTGAAATATTTCTACGGCGTCTTGATTTTAATAAGCTAAATTCACAGACACTTGCTTCCGTTGAAAGTAACATAATGGGAGAGTACCTCCCTTTACAGCCTTGACGTAAGACATGGAATGAGGGGAACTGCATAGTCTTAGCTTGTAATTGTAGGAGTTTATACATAAGATAATGTGTCTCACATTCAACCGAAATATATTTTTGGTTCTTGCTCAAATACTATTTCTTAAATATGGGAAAATACTTTGAAATTTCAAAGTACATCGTGAATCACATGAAAATTCTAGGTAATTCGTAGATTTACTCTTTAATTCTTAATCAAATCTATCTATTTCAGTCTTTTCATTTATATATATATATATATATATATATATATATATATGTCTTAACATATCTGTCAGTTTTACATATCAGTTTTACATATCTATCTATCTCAGACATTTCGTCTCTATCTATCTATCCATATATATATATATATATATATATATATATATATATATATATATATATCAGTCTTTTTCATATCTATCGCAGATTTCATATTTATAAATCTATAATTCATATCTATCTATATTAAAATCTTCATATATATATATATATATATATATATATATATATATATATATATATATATGCCTGTGTGTCTGTCGGTCTATGTATCGATCTATTTATCAGTCTGTTATATATCAACTTATGCACCTATCTCAGGCTGTATATATCTATCTATCTATCTATCTATCTATCTATCTATCTATCCCATCTATTCATATCTATCTATCTATCTATCATATCTATCTATCTATCTATCTATCTATCTATCTCAGTCTGGTCACTATCTATCTATCTATCTATCTATCTATCTATCTATCTATCTATCTATCAAATTATATCCGTCTATTCTCTGAAGTTTTAGAGTGGCGATTTTAGAAACCATTTTATTATAATTCTGTCCCGTTTGATATTCGAATCGTCAGCCACTCTATCTACCTGGCCATCTATTTTCCCGCCAAATACACCATATAAATATATATATATATATATATATATATATATATATATATATATATATATATATATGTGTGTGTGTGTGTATTTTTACTAACTCAATATGTTCTAAGTCATATTATGTTATACATAGAAAGTGGAGATTGAGCTAGATATATATATATATATATATATATATATATATATATAGAGAGAGAGAGAGAGAGAAATTTTTCATTGAAAACTCTGCATTCTGTTGGTCTTGTGAATACCAAAGTAATCTTGCAGTAGACTGATAAAAATATAAAACATCATTACAACCAGTGATATTTACAGACAGAGAAACACACAGACAGATTTAGCTTACCATTATTTGAGTCAAAATTCTCTTTTCTTTTTCAGATATGCCCAGCTTCAGCGTTCCTGTCTTGGAGATTGATGGCAAGAACAGGATGCCCGAAACCATGGCCATTGCCAGGTACTTGGCCAGAGAATACGGTAATTTAATATTCCCTTTTTTACGTTAATATTGTAATAATTTCACTCGTCGGCACGCACATGGCAGTAGGACTTGGACCTAGGCAAATGCTACATGTGTGAGCGTTTGGGATTGATCGCAACTGCCCCAGAGGGAGTTGTTAGGGTTCTTTCCCCTCCAACAAGTCGATAGGCCATGCCGGAATTTTGAAAACAGAACTTTCGTTGGTTTATACTTAAGAACAAATTCACAAAAAGTAAGAAGTTGTTCGGGTGAGGCTCTAAACTATATCATTATCAGCCAGTCAGTTATGTGTCATGCGTGATACACTCTTAAGCGATCATGTATCTTTCGATACGTTACTAACAAGGCAGATTTTTTTTTCCCAGAAGTAGGTTGCCATATCTTTCTGCAGTAGACCAGTTGCCATCCAAGGCTAAAGAACCCAGTCTCTCCTCCTATTTACCCATAGCTGGTGGCAGAAGAAGATTCATACCTTTCCCAAGCGTATTATCAAGTAAGTCAGTTATGCGCCATGCGTGATACACGCTTAGACGATCATGTATCTTTCGATACATGACTGACGAGGCAGATTTTTTTTCCTGCAGTAGGTAGATCTGTCCTATAGAGAGGAAGAGGGTTCATACCTTTCCTAAGGTTATTAGCAAATAAATGAATGTAATGGATTCGACTGGAATTCGAACTCGGCTCTCCGATTCCTCAATCCGAGCCGCTATCCATTATTCAACCGTGCCTCCTTCACATGAATAAACCTAGTAGATTAAATAAAGATGTTTAGAATATTTCTGCCATATATGGTCCGGTGCTTCTGCCATTTAACTGGAGCTTATGGATAAGACCCAGTAAAGAATCAGCAATATTATTGGTTCTGATCTGGCTGCTCGGATTCAGCCACTTGTCATCCTCGATAAACTTGCCTCTCTGTGCCTTTTTTAATAAATATTTCCATGGTAATTGTTCGGATGAGGTCTACGTTAAAGTGAACTGTATGAATTTAAAGGTAATACTAGACTGGCGTCGAGATCTCATCAATTTACAGCTGAGTTGGCTAGTTATGGCCGTAAATTCTATACTAATAGTTTCTTTTCTCGTACTTCAATTGTGGAACTCACTTCCGGTCATGTGGTTTCCGGTCAACTTTAAACTACAAAAATTTAAATGCAAATACTGTATACTGTCTTCCTGATTACTCGTTTCCTTTTCTCGTTATTACTAATGTTTCTGTTCCTAATTCTTCCACACCTGTAACACCTTGCTTCTTAGTGGCTTTATTGCCTTGCTTGGCGGGGTGATACTGATTAACTAGCTAAAAATTTGTGTACGGTTTTTATTTTTCTCAACCCAATAACTGCTATAATTTTCTGTTCACTTAATCGCTACTAACTAAACATTATATTGGTGACCACGACATACATTCCGATAACATTCTTAAACACACTTTCGGCCGTTGTACGCTCCGGCCTTCTTCAGGTGTTTGGAATGTCGAACTGAACCCTTTATTTCGCTCACTGGGGTAGACTGTTCTAATTCCACGTGTCATGTTTAGTGGATGTCAGTTGTCAGTTATCTCCTGTTAATTCCCCTTTCCAAATTCTCCATTGCCTTAACCGGGTATTGAACTCACACTCTTTGGGTCTTGTCACTCGATCTAATCAACGCCTTTATCCACTGCACCATGTGTCTGAATAATGTAATTAGTGCGCATAATACCTCATCTCAGAAATATAGACAGATACTGAATATTCTTAAAGGTAAATAAAAGCAATTATTCTTTCATACGATCACCGAAGTTAAGCAACGTAAAGCCAGGTTAGTAGTTAGATGGGTGACGGCTTCGGAATACGACTTGCTGTAAGCTTAGATATGCGGGTGGTGTAATAAATAATGGCTCGTAATTGTTAATCGGAAAGCCGAGTTTCAATTCCATTTGGGTTCGTTATAGTTACAAGCAAATGTGGAAAGATATGAAGCCTCCTCTTCTATCCACAGCTATGGGCTGATTAATAAAACTTTATCACTACATCATTTTCGGCCCCCAAAATTAACACACATTAAACTATCTCCTGATTTTAAATAACAGGTAGAATTTAGCTTCCATCAATGCCTTTCCTATAAATACTTTCATGGTAATTGTTCTTTGCTCTTGATGGTAACTAGACATTAAGACTTCAAGGCCAATATTCATTATTTTACCAATGGAATGATTAAATTTAACCGTAAGTTCTATGTTAATAGTTTCTTCTATTGCACTTCTCTCTTGTGGAACTCTCTTCCGGATTTTTGTATTCCCAGTTAACTTTGATCAAAAATTTAAATGCAATATCAATCGTTATCTTCTGTCTTCTTAATTTTGTTTTTTTATTGTCCTCTTTCACTTGTGTAAAGATATTTCAATTTGATTTTAAAAAATTTAAATGCAATGTCAATCGTTATATTTTGTATTCTTCAAATTTTTCTTCTTTTATTGTCCTATTGTCCTTTTATTAGTGTTTTTTTATTTTCTTTTGATCTTTAAAATTTAAATAATGTCAATCGTTATCTTTTTTTTATTCTTTTCTTTTATTCTCTCTCTTAATAGTGTTTTTTTTTCTCATATTCTCAATTTGCTCTTCAAAAAATTTAAATGCAATGTCAATCGTTATCTTATGTCTTCTTGTGAAATTTATTTATTTCCTTTTATTGTATTTTTTATAATATTCTCAATTTGCTTTTCCTTAAATATGTGTTATTTCTTCTTTTCTTAATTTTTTTCTTTAACTAAATCCTTATAGTGTTTTTTTTTTTTCATATTCAATTTGATCTAAAAAAAATTTAAATGCAATGTCAATCGTTATCTGATGTCTTCTTAATTCTTGTTCTTTTATTGTTTCTCTCTCCTTAATAGTATTTTTGAAATTTTTCTTTTTCTCAATTTGATCTTCAAAAAATTTTTAAATGCAATGTCAATCGTTATCTTATGTCTTCTTAATTCTTTTCTTTTATTGTCCTCTCTCCTTAATCATTTATTTTTCTCATATTTCAATTTGATCTCCAAAAATTTAAATGCAATGTCAATCTTTATCTTATGTTGGGTTTAATTTTTTTTTTATTGTTCTCAGGGAAATTAAATGTTTTTCTTTTAATATATTTTCTCAATTTGATCTTTAAAAATTTAAATGCAATGTCAATCGTTATCTTATGTCTTCTTAATTCTTGTTCTTTTATTGTCCTCTCTCCTTAATAGTTTTTATTTTTCTAATATTCTCAATTTTAATCTTCAAAAATTTAAATGCAATGTCAATCGTTATCTTCTGTCTTCTTAAAAGTTTTTTTATTCTTTTTAAAAAAAATATTTTTTTAAAACTACTAAAACTTATTCAATTAGAAAAACTAAAAGAAAATTTAATTTTTCATTTTTTGATTTAAAAAACATTCTTATATTCCAAAAAATTTTAATTAATAAAACATTTATCTTCAATTGCTTCATGGTAAAAAAACAACATGGACATGTTCAGAATTGGAATTACATCTGCGACTGTCTCTATGAAATCAAACATGATTACATGAGGTTTTTCCATGAGAAGAATGGCCGCTTCAAGGTGAGTCAGTTATACACTGATAATACAATTCATATCAAACAAATTTAATATTTTAAAAAAAAAAAAACCAGTCAGTTATTTTTAATTCTGCATCAAATTTTAAATCTACGTCTTTCAACAAATTTGAAAAAATGGATAAAAAAAGAATCAAATATAAAATGATTATTAAGACTAAAGACATTAGCTAAGACGATTGTAATGAATATACAAAAAAAATAATCTTCTACGAATTATTTTACGAAAAATTGTACGATTACATGAGGTACTATCACTGGATGAATGGACGATTCATTTGAGTCAGTTATTTCAAATCTGCAAAACATTTCATATCTACATCATTTTATCCACACTTTTTCTAGTGAAATGAATAAGCCAAAAGGCTATATAAAATAAATTATTAAGACTAAAAAAAAATTTTTGCTTAGACGAGTGTCAATTTGATTACTAAATAATGATTGCTTCTATGAAATCATGCACGATTACATGAAAATTAACTTTTTTTGGAAAAACGGACGCTTCAGGGTGAGTTAGTTATTTTCAAATCTGATCAAGGTTTTTTTATCTGACATCTTTCAACTAAATAACTATAGATAATGAATCAAATTAAAGAATATTTATTTAAAGTTATTATTAAGACTAAAAGACATTCTAATAATGTTGTTAAACTAAAAAGAAACTAAAAATACTCTTTTCATAATTTTTAAAGTGAAAACGATAAATAAAAAACGGCATTTTAATTAGAATCAGAAAGAAATTTTTGAAATTTCTCTGTAATTATATAAAGAAAAAAAAAAAATTATAATAACAGGGGACAAGTCATATAAACAGAAGAGAAAGAAATGGAATTTAATTTTGTGAAATGTTATTTTCTTTTTTTTCTTTCCAGAATGAGAGCAACGGTAGTTCCAACATGGCGGTAAGTAAAGAAGATTTTTTGAACTATTGCCTGATCTTCAAATACGTCACAATCTATTTTGCATTTTTATAACTCAAACATTCGTCCATACTTACAATATTACTGCCACATATGGTCCGGTTTTTGTAATAAATTTTTTTTTATAGATTTTTGATAAAATAAAAAGAATCAACAATATTATTAGTATTGGCAAAAAATTTTCGGATTGAAAGTATATTTTTCTCACCACCGTAACTTTCCTTTCCTGGGCCTTTCCTATAAATATTTTCATTGTCATTGTTCCAGGGAACTAAAAAATTGTAGCTAGACTCTATGAATTTAAGCGCAGTACCAGATTGACATCAAGATCTCATCAATTTACAGCTGAATTGGTTAACAACAAAGTTTATTAGATTAACGACAAAGATTACCATTAAAACAAAAGTGCAAAAAAATTAAAACAAGATTAAAAGATTAGATTAACAACAAAGATTAGCAACAAAGGTCATCAATTTACAGTTGACATACACCCTTGTCCAAATTAATTGAAACAACCTCTTTAGTTTCCTTTCTTTCACAAGACGGTCAGTTTTACACCCACTGGAATGACAGGTATAATTAATTTGTATTTTTTCCTCAGATTAGGTCATTTGCAGTGGTGTGCAGTAATTAATATGAATCTATTTACGGGGTATATGATGAAATTTGTTTAGCCTTGAAAAATATTGCGTCATACGTGATAGCATCAGATGTTCATCACGCCCAGACACTATTGTCTCGACTGTCGATTAGTTGTCCTACAGCCATTGTCTGCGATGGACGTTACTCCTGGAAAACTTACAACAATTTGTAACGTTGCACGAACACACTGGCAGGCCTTACCAGTGAACAAATCAAAGTGCTAGACTGGCCCGGAATCTCTCCTGATTTAAATCCAATGGAGAATCTGTGGTCAATCTGCAATGAAGTACTTCGTGGAATGGACATACGAAGTTGTAACATGTGCACTGGGTCATGTTTCATTGGAAAAATACGAAAAAAAAGTAAATAATAACGGAATTATTCGTTTTGTTTGACTTAATTTAGACAAGGGTGTAGTTTCATTAGATGACATCAGCACATACATAATCAACTATCATATCGCTGAAGGACACTAGTTGTGTATTTTTGGAGCCTTTTATATTCAAAGATGGTTTTTGACATTTATTTACATGACATTAATTCGAACACATTTTATACTTTAGCATTTCATTTCGGAGACGAGTAATTGTCAATATACTTGTATTATTTACAACTATTTTTCTCAGCTTCATTGATATAAATCTTATTATAGACACACCGCTTCAATTAATTTGCACAAGGGTGTACAATTGCGTTCAAATTTATTTAGATTCCGGCATTAGATAATACATAGAGAATGATATACCGCTAAACACAATAAATCAATCAACCAACCCATTAACCTTCATTATGTCATGTGAGTGTCAAACTTTCCAATCCTTCTTTCTTATCAGCTCTTTCATATCTTAAAGATAAATATTCTGTTAGTTTCCATTTCCTCACAGCGTTTCTTTTCCCATTTTGAGGTAATTTTCTGGAACATGCTGATGACATACATTCTGTATATAGTGTTCCAAGACGTTACACTTGAACATTTCAAAACAGAAACTATGATCTGGAATTGGAATGAAAGCAATGATAGCAAAGACAATGAATCCATAAAAATTTACCCCAAACGAATCTACTAATAAAAAAAAAAATAAAATCAGCAGAGTAGGAAAATGTAACCGTAAGTTTTTTGTTTCTTTTCTCGCACTTCTCGCTTGTTGGACTCTTTGCCATTTACTGGTTTTCCTTCCAACTTTCATCTTCAAAACATTAAATGCAATATCAGCCATTATCTACTGCCTTTCTGGTTGCTTTTCTATTGTTCTCGTTCCTGAATAATGTTTCTTTTTTTTTTTTTTTATTCTTTCATACTCAGTACCCCCCTCCCTTGCGTCTTAGTGGATTTATTGCCTTGCGTGAGGTGAAATGAGAAAAAAAATCAACCGTCTAGCTTTGTACAAAAATAATTAGACATGGAGTGCAGATTTAAAAAAAAAAACAGCAACACGACATATTTCAACAACTGTAGATAATCCTTGGTTATTCAAAATGATCTCGACGCTATAATGCTCTATTCCCTTTCCCATCGCCTTATTATCGCTTCCATCCCCCTTTTCTGTAAATATTTCCATGATAATTTTTCTGATGAGCTTTCTTCTTTTGTGCCTCGAATTTATGAATTGAAGCGCAGTACTAGATTGGCAGATAGGTCTCATGTTTGCTATCAACTCTGTTATCTATATATCTTTTGTCGCTGAGATGGTTTTCCCCATTA